AAATACTGCAACTGCAAAATTATGCAATAACAGTTCTGTTTGAGGTTAGTCTTCAAATCTGACTGGAATCTGGCTGTAGGTTCCACTTAAGCGGCACTTCATCTTCCCCTTAAATTATTTGCCTGTTACGGTTCGCCTTAACGCTAGGTGACAGTGGTGCAAACGAATTCTGTCACTAAACTGTCACTCTTATGTTAAAGTGAGCCCTAGGTAAGTGGAACCTAAAGTCAGATTCCAGTCAGATTTGAAGACTAACCTCAAACAGAACTGTTATTGCATAACTTTGCAGTTGCAGTATTTTGTTGCAAACAAGCCCATTTGTCATTATCAACCGATAATAATTAGTATATTCCGTGAACTAAACGATTTTATGATGAATGTGTTAAGTAATGATCTGTTATTTGATAATGATGACAGCGACCATGTGCGAGTTCCTATACTAGTTTACGAGAAAACACATTATTTGATAGTTTTGATGATGATCTGTTTTTTCAACGTATTCCGTGTTAAAGTACATCGCACTTTTCATATCGAACCTCATAGAAGAGGAAGGTCTATTCTATTTATATGTACCTCTCGTATATTTAAACGATATCTGTTAATTTCTGTTTATAGTCGATGGAGGATATAACATAAGGCCGTATTTATTAACTCCGTTACAACAGCCGGCAAATAGTGCAGAACAATTATTCAACGAGTCGCATATACGGATAAGAAATATGGTTGGGCGGATATTTGGTATCTGGAAAAGAGGATTCCCAGTCCTTGCATACGGTTGTCGTTTAAAAATAGATACAGTCTTAATAATAAAATAATTGAGTAGAGAGCAAAATGAGGATCAGCCACCTGATCGTGAAGATGTTGAACGCTTCATACATCTTATGCAAGAAGATGAAGTATCTAACATAAGCGACATATATAACAGAAACAATATATTGTTGCAAGGGAATCGAACTAGGAGGGACTTAACTGATTTTATTTTAGATTCATTGATAAATAGCGATGAACTGAATTGAAAGTAATGCTTTTGATAAAGAGCCAATATTATTAAATTGAAATAACTTATATGATGCATTACTAAAACAAATGGAAAATAGCATTATTTGCTTGAGACCTTTTTAAGTATTCCAATTTTAACTTTTCCTACTGAAACTCGAACATGATTTTGTCCTGCTCTCTTTTGGCTAAAATGTTTTGAAGCTCCTCTTCATAACATAGCATTGTTCGCTTCCAACCGGGAGTCTAAGGTTTTTCCTTATAGGAAAAATTTAGTCAGTTTTTTATTTTCAAATGACTCCATCTTTAATAATATATTATAAATTAATTATATTTGAGACGTAAACAGTAACGGCAACCTCGGATTCAGTTCTAAGATTAAAGTTATTTTGGAAAGAAAAGGCGGGAGCAAAAGCCAATTTATCACTTTTAGCAATGTTGCCAGGTAAAACTTCATCTTAGCTAAGTATCACTTAATTGACAGCCGTGCAAAGCTGTCTGTAGTTAGGGTTAACCTTAATCCAAAGTTATCCCTAGCTAAGAATAAGTTTTAAGGAAGACTGGTGCAAATGGCCGTCAATCAAAGTTGTTTATATGTGAAGAAAATGTAGGTTATGATATAAGACGCTCATTAGCCAATAGAATGAAGGAACACCTTTATCTGCAGTTTATCTGGCTCATTTCACTGGTATAAGTTATACCGCCATTTATACCGAGTTGAACGTTATTCGGTTTTTGTAGAACCTAATTTTAAAAATATATACTTGGAACAGCTTGTTCCTGGTATATACCGCAATTGTAGAATGCGGCCTTACACATGTGACATTTTTGCAGCAACAATCAACAAAACCGAAACAGAAAATAAAAACAATTTGATCAGTTTGTTAAATTTACTTAACCACCGAACAACAGAAACAGTTTTAAGTGACCACAAAGTAAGCGTTACTTTCTGGTCTACAGCTTCGATAAACCCACAGCAAGTTTTGCAAAAATACATTGCAAAGAGAATATATGTAGTTAATCTTGATCTAATCTACGCTTATCATTCATTTTATTGTCTTGGTCTATAAACAATTACACAAAAATCTGGTTGCCTGTGACCAGACTAATGGTTCAATAGATTTATTCTTAAGTACTCATCAATATATTTATTCCCTATTTCTATTTACATATAAAACAGCAAACCTATTATTATCTATTAAATGTATTTCTGATCAAGCTCAAAATGTAGCAATATTAGATGCATTTCCCTAGAAACAGCTTAAGAGTGTTTAGCTGAACTTATAATGCCTCTAACTTTGCGAAAGTTTATTCGAGGTTGCCCAAATTACTTTGTACATTCGTAGGGAAACCGCACTATTTCGTTCAGTCAATAGCCAAAGCTAAAGTAGAGTACAAGCTATTATAATTATCGTATGATCAGGCAGTTTTCTTTGAAGTTGGAAATCGCTTAGCTAAACATTTATTAAGATGCAAAAGCAGTTCTCCTTCATAGAGCATTCTCGGCAAGCCGTTGTTACATACACATACGATTTGCATTTGCTGACTGTTAAATTGAGGCCTTTGAGGTAAGGGCTGTAACTATACATAATCAAACAAAGCAGGGGCACACAAATGGACACCATAAAGAAACTTTTTCAATTTACTTTAATGAGTTTTCTTTTTAATGCTTAGAAAATGTCACGATATGGAAGATGACGGTAATTTCCTGTTTTCTTTTAGCAACCATCGTCTAAATAACTGAGATTGATAGTGCACGTGGAAATAATTTACTACTTCCATGTTCTATTTTTTTCTTTAATGAGTTTAACTCATTTAGATCTATTCCGAAGTAAAATCTTTAACAAACTGCTTAATTTCAAGTTTTATTCTGAAATCGTCATTAATAATTTAACAAATGTCCTCCAATTCAACAGAAGTAAGTTGGGATTATACTTCCAAATTAATTTTATTATTAAGACGTCGACGAATATCGACAGGAAAGTTTTCCTCTATGTGTTGAGCACATTATTTTCAGTCAATGCAGAAGAGATCTGTGGTACAAGTGAACAAAGCATTTTCAATATAAAATTGATGCAAAAATTGTTCGCTGGAAAACTTTGTGCAGGCATTACGGTCTCGAAAACTTATAGTCTAACTAAAAAACTGGCAAAATGATGCTTTATACTTTTCTATGCAGATTTGAAATAAAAGTAATGCGTAGCCTGCAAAGTTATAGTAAAGATATTTTTTTTAAGTTAAGCTGGATATTAGAGGACGGTAATGACTAATCCGGACGGTTAGGCAATGTATTGTGATTCAAGAAAACAAAAATTTTCCAGATAAATTACTAAAGAAAAAACCTTATAGTTTAATTAAATTAAAAACGAAAAACCTAGAAAATCAATGGCTACAAAAATTGTCTAGACATAATTATCCTAGAAGACAAACTTGTGAATCAAAAACGAACATAAGAAACTTTGAATTCACTTAGGGCAGTATTGATTAATTTGCTCTTGGAGGTTGATATTCGTTCGCATCTACACTACCATCCGTACTAAAACCCATCATTATTCTTTAAACGTAGTGTTGAATGTATCTAATTTTGTAGTCTTATCCTTTCCGAGAATGAAATCGAAAGAAAGAAAAACTTCTTAACATTTCCATGTGTGATGGAAAGTCATAATTTTATTCGAAATGAAAAATATTTTGATTAAACGGGGCCGCTAAATTTATTCCACCGGCGTAACTTTCAAAATAAAAAAAGGTTACGACTTGAAACTTTGCACCAGATTTTAATATCTAGCGAGAGTAAACCTGAAATAACAGTATCTTAGGCAGAGAACAAATATTTCATTGCGACCAATGTCGGTTACTGGAATTACGCAGTTACCTATTTAATTATTACACGCGTATCTAGTTTTCTGACCATTAATCATACACTAACCAGTGTTTGAATACCTTTGTTTTCCCCACTCAAAATAAATTAGTAGTGTATTTGAACGCATCTATACGTTTGAGAGAGCCTGAAACCCTACACATACAAATATTTCTCATAAATTGCATATAGTAATTGTATGAAAGTATCTGAGAATTTATATTTCAAATATTGCTTTAAATTGTTTTCATGTGTTGGCTATTCGTGAAATATCTACCGTGAAATATATAAAGTTTTTCAATAAAACTCACAATATAAAAACTTATTGAATTTGGGCTTAATTAGTTTCCTGCAATAAAAGACCGTAAACTGCCACAAGCATTTTAATATAATAGAAAATAGCATTCGAATCACTGAAAACTTCTCATGGCAAATATAAAGTTTTAGAAGTGCCCAAGGCGATGTGAATAGAATATCGGCGATTGATGCAATTTCTAAGAGCTTTCAGTCCGCTAACCACTTGAAAGTTTTCAAATTACAAGTGACACTCAATATTGAATTTTTTCTTTTACTTAAAGCTGATTACTGTTAAGTAATCGTGTTAAGTAATAAGCTCGTTACTGTTAAGTAATCTTGCAAATAACTATTCTGTAATGACTGGAGAAATGCGGAATTATAATCGGGATTAGTCGCTTTTAAAGTAGCTGTTATCTCAAGCAGACAATAATTAAATTACAATCACTAAAGGATGGGAGTAAAATGGAGTTTTTGTGAAAACGGATACAATTTGGACACCTGGTTTATCAAAGCCGAATAAATAAAAACTGTTTATTTACTTTGGTAACATTCCCTTTACAAATGTTTCTCGTGTTTACAATTGAACTAAACTCGATCTTCGAGCCGGTGTATTTACAAACGGGGTTTTCTGAAAAGTATCGATAACTTTAAAGCATTAACCGTACTTCCGTCGCAAATTAAATACAGGATACATCTGTTCTATAATTCACACAAAAACCAGAAAACGAAGGTGACCAAACTGCTAAAACGTTCCATCTGAAAATGGCACAAGCAAAAAAAAGCAATGAAGAATATGCGCGCCAACGGCGTTACAAAACGGCGTCGAAGACGTCGCTCAGTCCACCGATAACTCTGTGTGAAATCGGACATGGGCGTCGTTTTGCAGAAGGATTCCGCGATTTCAACGTAAATATTTATATCGCGTTCGGGTTATTTTGATTGTGTCATTCACACTTTGACTTGGATAGACCAAAATAGATGGTATATTTTAAAAGTGCGGTGGTTAGTGCCAGATAATGGATAATTGATGGATTGATACCATCCGGTGAATAGGACTATTGTGGTAAGAGAAACGCAATTGTATTTTGGGACAAAACAAATTAGTTTATTATTTACACCTGATGTATCGAATGTTTCTTCCATGTTCTGGTTTTAATTAGACTTTTCCAATTCAATTCCCACACTTTTTCTATACCGAACTGTAACATGACATCATAATTACTTTTGAATTAACAATTGGTTTAATCAAGCTTACATTTTATTCACCAATTGTTACCTAATTCATTTGATCCAGTGTGTACACATCATTTCTTATAATTTACAGTTTTGTTAATGCAAACCATACATCCAAAATTAATTTTGTGTATCATCAGCAACATATTTGCATGTATTTTTCATTTTTCTTTGCGCGCTTTGTTTGATTTTCTGGAATCGCAACATAAAACAGCGGTTTCCGTTTTGAAAATTAGGAAAGTACGCAATAAAGTGTGAGGTACTTCTCTAGTAATCTCATGTAGAAATTTTGAATAGCCCGTCCTTAAAATCAGATACTCATTACATTTTTGCAATGTACTAAAACAATTCTGCTACATGTATTTCTCTAGATACTATGGTAATAGATGCTATTATGCTACGGATATAGATGCTGCTTGTGTACCACGGAAGCAGGATTTATTTTATTTTCCTCGGGTTATGCCCAGTCTGGATATTGTTAAATTAGAACTACCGTTTATAGCAGACCCACTTAAAAATGTAGGACGGTTTTGATTCTTTATAGTCGCAGCGGCAAGCGATTCTTCGGAGGGGAAATATAATAATGACGGCTTGATGCTTTGTTATTGAAATAGTCTTAGATTAAGTTTGCTGCATGTCATAAAAGTACTTATGACCCACATAGACGTTCTGCTATAGTTCCACTTGCCTGAGGATATCACTCCCTTCTATATTCTTGGGAAAATATTATTTTAAGCAAAACGTTGCAAAAATAGAAAGGCCAAACTTGTAATACTGGCTAAACCTAAATCATCTTTGAGTCAGCGAGTTGCTAACAGAGAGCGAATGAAAATATTGCCTGATCAATCGGTTGTCTATTTTCTTACATTCGTGATCAAACGCAGAGAAGGGACTACTTCTCTCCAAAGAGATTCGATTACCCGTTTTTGTATCATTTGGAGGATCTTCAGAGGGCAGTACTGAAAGAATCAAACTGGTCACTAAAATGGACTAAATACTTACCACTGTTATAGTCAACTATAGACTATATAACTATAGACATGCATATTTCAATTCCATACTTGTCTTATAAGTGTAGTGTTTTGTAACTCACTACTGGTTCGCATCCTAAATGGCAAAATAGCATTCGCACATGCTTCTCCTAACGCCGCTGCAAAGTCAGTATGTATTTTGAAGCTTCTTTAACGATTATTTCATCGTCTTCGCATTTCGCATCTTTCGCTTTCTGAGGCATGTAAACAATAGTTGAAAATGCGCGCTGGTTTCAAAATATGAATAAAAGAACTTCACCGAAAGAAGCTGTCATCTAAAAACTTCATTTTGGTTGGCTCTCGGTTAGTACCCAGCAATGTAACTTTACATATGAAAGCATGACTTCAATGTCGTCCTCAAGATCTTGCAATCCATAAGGATATTGTTTTTTCCTGAAAAACTCGTTCATTCACTTTCTACAATTTCTTATGGTAGGTAAAATTTAGAGCTGCTGACATTTTTTCCTTCAAGTTAGTTTAATCTATGCCCACGACATCTACGCTTGTTTGCCAAAAATTTTCATTCTCTGTGTCTGTGTCGGTGTCTGCAATGTCTGGTTAGCCGCTCAAGTAACGGGTTGTCTAATTCGAGGTTGGGAAAGTAAAACCTTGCTATTTGATATCTGCCATAGGTAACCGTCATCCGAAGCGTTTTTGTTTTAGTTGGAGGTTTCCATTTTGAAATATGGATCGTTTAACTGTCGAAGAACGCGTAAAAATTAATAAATGTTACTATAAAAATGGTGGTTCTCCTGTATCAACGTTTAGGGCTTTACGAGCAGATTACGGACATAATCGACCCACAGAGCAAACAATTTTGAACACAGTGGAAACATTTGAAGAGAATGGATCGGTTACTGATATTGTAAGGCCTGTGCATAATCGCAACATTCGTTCAGCTGAAAATATCGCTGTTGTTGCTCAAAGTGTGGAGAAAGACCCGAATTCGTCTATTCCCCGACGTGCTCAACATTTGGGCTTGTCTTACGACTCATTGCGGCGAATTTTGCGAGTCCAAGTCCAACTGCCTTAAGAGCTTAAGCCTCATGGGTAACGCAGAACATACGCAAATTGGGTGAATTTTCTTCAGCGATGAGGCTCGTTTTTCGCTTGATGGTTACGTGAATAAACAGACCAGCCGTATATGGGGCTCTCAAAATCCTCAGGTGACCGCAGAAAGGCCTTTGCATCCTGAAAAAGTGACCGTATGTTGTGCATTATGGTCCGGTGGTGTTATTGGCCCGTATTTTTTTAAAACGATCAAGGAAGAGCCATAACAGTCAATTCTTAGCGCTATGGACGCATGTTAACCGATTATTTCGGGAGAGAAATTAAAAATTATGATCTGGAACACATGTGGTTCCAGCAGGATTGGGCAACGAGTCACGCAACACTGGCAGTTAGAGCCCTGTTGCAAGAGAAATTTCCAGGACGCGTAATTTCGAAATTGAGTGAGGTCAATTGGCCCGCAAGATCCTGCGACTTAACACCGTTAAATTTCTTTTTGTGAGGCTATACGAAAGATCGTGTTTACGCCAACAATCCTCAAACTCTTGAGCAACTGAAAGCCAATATCCGTGAAGCTATGGCCGAGATATTACCGGTGATGTACCGAAAAGCCATTCAAAATGACCTCAAATGGATTGAGGCCTGTAGGAGGTCCCGTGGAGCACATTTAAATGATATTGTTTTTCACGTATAATGACGGTTAATCTTTAAATTGAGTTAAAATTTTCGTCTCCATCTGAATATGTTGTGTGTTGTTTTTTCTGTACTTTCCCAAGCATAAAATAGATAACCCTGTATTTCAGTGTAGCTGTCTTTTTTAGTTACAATTTATTTATAATCGAAACTTGCTTCAATTTTGTTTAGTGTCTGAACGCACGAACTCCAATTGACCATGTTCCACTCGATCTATTTGATCGGACGCATTTTCATAATTTCTAAACCGTGTTAGAGCAAACGATCAAAGTGGTTAGCATAGAGACTAACCGGCTGATATCAGTTTAGCTAAAATGTCTGACTACGTCAATCCGTTTGCCAATGTTAATGTTGTCTTCACAAAATTTTTGCCAGATATTGATCGCGGCGGTTCCCGGTGGGACACCCTGTAAACCTTCTAATAATTACGTCATTAGTTACTCGCTTAACTAATGCAAATATCTTCCATGTCCTATGCATTCATTAAAATTCAATACGAAGGCACGTCCAATGCAATCTGTTGCAATATGATAACTACGCGTACCTAAGCATATTATAATAATTGCAAATGTAGAACGAGAGTATAGTTTTTCCACCCAGCAGGGTTTAATGGTAATTATTTGCTATCATTATATAATAAGGGATATATGCTTGATATTCGATCTGCTTACACTCATTCTTATTAACTGTAAGATTTGGAGGTCATGTAGGGATTAAGTATTATTTTATTCTTCTGGGCAAATATTTACCATTGGGTTCACTTCAAAGCGCACTGCATGACCTGAATCCGTCTACAGTTCGAAAAGTAAACACAGTCATATTAACTAATTTACTGAAGGTAATTCCGCATTAAATGCAGTCTTCAATACATGTGATTAGAAATTTCATGCACCGAATTAAAATATCGGATTGCAAAATACTCCAGGATATATTCATTACGTGCTTCCAGCAAATTATAACTTTTCACGCAATACCCAACGGGCTTGCCGCCCTATTCAAGAATTACTAAATAAATAGGCAAATCCATGCTGAATCCTTTATTTGAATACGTTTATTTGATTTTCATAAGACGGATTCATATTATTAATTAGTTTTAATGAGATGGTTTTTGGCTAAAAATAGACCATATATTTGAAATGTATATTTATAAAATATGCATGCGAGTATATATCCTGAAAGCAAAAGTTATACCAAAAGCCTTTGCATAATGGTTACCTTGCCCTTCATATTAATGTATAGCAATGAAACATCGAACTCATTTGGAAAGGGTAAAATAAACGTGTGGAAGAATATGAACATAACAAGAACGAACATAACACGAACAAGAGAGAATTTGTGTTTTCTATGTAAACCGTTCGGGAACAAGTTGAACTGAGGCATGGAAAATGAGTACAGGGTTTGTCAGTAACTAACGTTTAGAAGGATTAGTTCATAAACATTGTAATTTGAACATAAGCAGATAATTATTGTTTTTATATAGAAATTGATAATTCACTCATATCTCGTACAAATTCTGCATATTAGCTTCGGTACATATACCGGGTGCGCCATATATATGTTCAATTATAAATTAACAGTAAGAATAGGAAAAATTGATTTTTTTATTTCTTACTTTATTTCATATGATTTAATGTGTATTCCGATTAAGTATGGAAAATGATTTCAGTCAACGGCTATCTCTGCTGGCTCGGCAGTACCTCATTTTGGAACACCAATTTTCGAGCAATTTATTAGCAGTTTGCTGGTCTATTTGAGCGATTTGAGCTTTAATGTTTTGCTTCAAGTGGTCAATTGTCCAAGAGTTGTCCGCATCAACTTTATCCTTCAATTTGCCCGAAAAAATAGTGGTGTTAAATAGCAGCTACGCGGTGGCGAATTAATATCTCCAAAACGACGAATTACACGATTGTTAAACTTTGTGTGTAAAAGGTTGATGGTGGACCCGGCGGTGTGGCAAGTCGCACCGTCCTGTTGAAACCAAACCTTCTCAGGACCGATATTTTCAAATTCTTGCCACAAATAATAATTTATCGTATCTCGATAGCGGTTGCCATTGACAAGGTCTGATCAAGCGTCATTCTGGAAAAAAGGCCAAATC